TCCGAGGCAGTATCACTACGGAAGTAGGAATGCCCAACCTTCCTTCCAAGGAGTGGCTGGTGGGTTTGAACCGCCAGCCTTCTGGTTAGCAGTCCAGTGCCTTAGGCACTATGCTACCAGAGCTCCTTATTTAAGTAGAAGACTGTATATACTCAAACCTGTTTCATCAAATTTTGCTTAATAAAAAAGCAACAACAGTCATGAGATATAGTTTTCCTAACCAAATCTATGCAGTGGACATAATTAAAAACAAAGATTCAGTGTCTCTGAGTACCTATAATGTACAGTTAATTTAGGATAATTAGTACTGAGGGCATAATAATAGTAGCTACAAGGTAATAGGCAGCCATTGTGTGCCAGCACAGCATATTCCTTTTCCTAAAATCACTCTACTTAGAAAAGTTTCAGTTACATTGAGGAACCAAAAATCCACCCTTATCATTCTAGTGGTCTTAGACTCAGTACATTAACCTAATACATTAATAAATTTTGATGCAATAAATACTAAGTGTAGCACTAGTATGGATAATTACCCATTTAAAAATTACTGAGCTAATTCTATAATGGGCTCAGAATGTAAGGTCTGCACTTAAACAGTGGTGAAGGTAGTGGTTCTCCAAATATTGCTGGAAGGTCACATACATCAGAAACGACTGGAGTGTTCATTGAAAATAAAAATCTTGATTCAGTAGATTTCGGGTTGGGCACCACCACCACTCATCTGTCAGTTTATTGCATTGTGGTGATTTTGTGTTGCTGTGATGCTGGAAGCTATGCCACTGGTATTTCAAATACCAGCAGGGTCACCCACAGTGAATAAAATTCAGTGAAGCTTCCATATTCAGACAGACTGTGACAAAAAACCTTGCTATCTACTTCTGAAAAAATTGGCCAGTGAAAACCTTATGGACACCCTCAGAACACTGTCTGATACACAGTGCCAGAAAATGAGTCCCTCAAGTTCATAGGCACTACACAATGGCTGCAACAATGGGCTCAACCACAGCAATGATTGTGAGGGTGGTGCAGGACTGGGCAATGTTCCATTACATTGTATGTAGGGTCACTATGAGTCAATTGATTCTATGGCACCTAACAGCAACAGGATTGGGCACTGGAAAATGTATGTTTAACAAGTGTTGAAAGTACTTTGTACACCCTGAAACTAGAAAGCCAGTGACTTAAGGTTGTGGCATCTTATTTCCTGCCTGTTTGAGGAAACAGAATTCCTTCTTCTGACCTACTTTGTTTCCTTGCTCTTCTGGCCTATTTCCTCTGGGAGTGTTCTTCACTAGCTGTTCACTTTTATTCAGTGAAATGTCCTTCTCCATATCTTTTTGTCTTCTAGCTACAACATCCTTAGCGCCTTCTCTTTACTAAATAAATAAATAAACAAATATACTCTTACCATGCTATCTTTCAAATTTTTACCCCAATATCTTTCTGCTTCTCTTTGAAAGGCTATCAACCTGCTGTCTCCACTTCCTCACATTTTTAGTGTTGTGCCCCTCATTTTGGTTCTCCACCATGTGAACTCAACTTCTCATTACAATCTTATTTCACCTAACATCCATTCCAACTAGGCCTTTTATGTCACTTCCTCAGAAGGAAGGTTGGGCAATCTACTTCCACAGTGATACCACCTCAGAAACCCAAGGAGGGGTCACTATGAGTCAAAATCAACTCAACGGCAGTGAGTTTGGTTTTTAGTTTTAAAATGAGTCAATTCTCTCTCACAGAATTAACTCTCATCTTTCATCTTAATTGCAGGTTCTAATCTCATCAGTCCTTTCAAACACTACTCACCCTTTCCTGCTGTTTACTCATCCTTTCCTGCTCACTAAATACAGCCCACTGGATCCTTTCTATCCTCCATCAGAAACTCTTCATACTCCACTGGTTCCATTCTTATGATACTTACCTTACTTACCCTAGTACTCTGGACCTTTACATCTTATTTTAACATCTACTCTGGTAGCATAGTGGCTAAGACACTTGCCTGCTACCCAGATGGCTGGTGGTTCAAACCCACCAGCCACTCCTCAGAAGGAAGGTTGGGCAATCCTACTTCCGTAGTGATACTTCCTCGGAAATCCAAGGAGGGGTCGCTATGAGTCGGGGCCGACTTGACAGCACTTAACAACAACAACAACAACAGATATATAGCTCTATGAGTAACAGAATCTGTTTCTTCTTCATCTTTCAAAAAAAACTAAACCAAACTCACTACCATCGAGTCAATTTTGACTCATAGCGACACTTCCTTGGGTTTCTAAAGTGGTATCTCTATGGAAGTACATTGCCCAATCTTCCATTCAAGGAGTGGCTGGTGGGTTTGAACCACCAGCCTTCTGGCTAGCAGTCAAATGCCTTAAGCACTATGCCACCAGAGCTCCTCTTCATCTTTAAATCCCTTATATTCCTAACTGAGCACATCTCATGTTCAAAGATTAACATTTTAACATAATCATTCTTCATAGTGTATCCATAGGAATACCTACTTTCCACATTTTCCTTGATAATAGGTACTGTCCAAAATTATAGCATATGATCTAAGGATATCTTTTTAAAAGTCTAACCTGTAATGTTACCTTCAGTTATACAAGGGTATGTGCATTATTTTCTTGCCGAAGTTTCTTTCTTTCTTCTGCTTCTCCTTCGTATTCTCTGAAGTATCGTTTTCGAAGCCTTTAAAGGAAAGATATTATCTAACTATGAAATATTACTATATTCTTAAGGAGATGTTTATATTGACTTTAATATTTCCAGAGGAGTAAAATTTAAATGCATATGTCCTCAGATGCAAAATTCCAAAAGGCATGGAATACATCAAAATGTTTTCTTTTGTTTTTCTGTAGAAATTAGCAGTTATGCATAGTTGGAAGAAGAAACGGGTAATATAGTTTTATCACAGGAAGAATTAATTTGTGCTTACACAAACTAACTTAGATTATTAGATTTTATTTTTAAGCAGGCTTGCAAAACAAGTTGGGTTTTATTCATTTATAAATATAATAAATATATCCCACAAGTTTTACTTATTGTCACTTTCTATTAAAAAACACAGTGGTGTCAAAGTTTCTTGGTATTGAATAAACAATTAAAATTGTAGTTAATGTTTATTTATTCCAGCTGCTAAATACTATGATTTAAGTCATAAATACTTTTTCCTTTGTTGTGATGTTTGGGGAATAAAAAAACCTCACCTCAATTATTAAAAAAAAAAAAAAAAAACATGAACTGTGTTTTCAGCTTCTTGTTGTTATGTGCCATCAAGTTGGACCTGACTCATAATGACCCCACCTTGGATTTCCAAGGTGGTATCACTACAGAAGTAGATTGCCCAACCTTCCTTCCAAGGAGTGGCTGGTGGGTTTAAACCGCCAACCTTCTGGTTAGCAGTCAAGTGTCTTAGGCACTATGCTACCAGAGCTCCTTGTTTTCAGCTTAGTGTTTGCTAATATATTTCAAAGAGAAGGACAATATGGTTTTAAGAATGCCACCATAACAAAATTATCCCATGCTTTTCCAAAGTAATATTAAAATTTTAAATACTAAAATTATAACTTTAAATAATAATTATTGCAAAATATTTTCGTTAACTGGCAAGTTTTTATTCCATCTTTCTATATAATTAATAATGGTTTGTCAAAGAGTATTTTTCCTAAACACATTTGCTTACATGGCTTGGGACACTAAAAGACCAAGATAAATTCTAGAGTGTACAAAACAAATGTATTTCAAACTACAAACTGTTATGTGCATGATAATACAATTTTTTATTTATATATATATATGTGTGTCACTTTATCATTCTGATCTGCACATGAAATAATAGTAAACAATGGCAGAAGATAACTCAGTTTCCTGAATGCCAGCAGTGGTAGCTTATGTACACAATCCAGTTGTTGAAGTACTTTAAAGACCTAAAATTAGAATAATGAGTCCATTGCTTTTCCCAAGCTCTAGTAGCACATGAGTCATGGTAGAGCCATTCACACCCTCCCCCAGCTTCCCTTATTCAATGACTTCTGTTTGGCAAACAATGCCATTTTGACCTACCCATCAGTGTCTACTATAAGAGCCTCGTTCTAGTATTCATTGGTCATGAAGTGAAGAATGTGATCTCCTATTGTGAGCACAGGGAAGACATTGCTAGAGTAGAACAGTAATAGAATTGTTCCTACCTCTTACACCACGCCATATGGAGGAATTTTTTTTTTTTTTTTTTTTTTTTTTAGTAATTGGGTTCCCATATTATTGTATTTGACAATAACACAATAGGTTTAAGCTCTAAGCAAATCAGCACCATGCTTTGAAATTCCAAAGTAAGGTATTTCATTCTACTATGAACAGGAGGCATAAATTCTCCTGGTCATTGGTTTGAAGCTCTTTGAGATTTTTAGTACCAAAGCAATTTTCTCTGACAATCTATCATGAAACAGGTCTTTAATTAGCTTTTGTTACTAGGAGGCTTCTGAGGTTCAGAAGTAGCCAAGAGTAGAAATGGGAAATGAAGCAATATATCCACTTTAACTTAAAAAAAAAAAAAAAAAATTCCAGATCTTCTGATAAAAGACTTTATATGTTAAGTTTCAATGGTGGTCAAATATTATTAGAAATTTCAACCATATTTTGTGATCTTTGTCTATGAATTGCAAATATATAAGCCAAAGACCATGTGCTACTAATAGAATAATTCATCTGAAATATGATAGCAGAATGTGACAGAAATATTGAAATAAATTAATCTGGCATTATCTTATTAGGGATTTTAAATAATCTCCATACTTACTGGATTGTAATAACAACAATTGTTGTGAGGCTCACAGTGGAGACATAGGCAACTATGGCTGCTAAAGCGATTTTTGATAAACCACTGTCAACCATCTTTTGAGTCTTCATAGACTTTCCCCCACATCGTTCACCAAAGTAATCCTGATGACATCTGCAAACAACAAACATTTGAAAATTATAATCACTAAAAGCATTCCATTTATTTTACATTTACTTTCTAAGTTATAAACAGCCATTTAATTCTAACATTCAAAATAGGCTCTGTATCTGTATTATGAAATCATGAGACACAGAATGTACTTTAGCCAAAGATCTATTAGTGTAAGAACAAGTTGAGATTAGTTTGGGTGTGATATTCCAGAAAGACACCCCTTTCATTCTTCAGATTCTTTTATGACCATCTGATGAGTTCAGTGACTTGTTATATACTGACTAAATTCTACTATCATTTAACGTGCTAGTAGCTTTTTGGGGAGTTAGATGTTAGAACATGAAAGAGTATATGAAAAATATCTTCAGGTCATTGTATAAAAGAGCTTCACACATGTTGAGCTTCATATATAGTTTTGTTTTCTTTTAAAAAAAAAGCTTCATACATCATACAGGAGTCAGTAAAATGTAGATTACAGGTCAAATCTGGCCATTTGCCAGGGTTTATTTTTAAAAGTTTTCCATCAAGAATGGTTTTTACATTTTAAATGGTTTCATTTCAGTTGGTTATAAAGGTAAGTAAAAAATCTTGGTGGGCCAAGCTTGTTGTATTTATTATCTGGTCCTATAAGAAAAAGTTTGCTGACTTTTGTTTTATACATTGGAAAAATAGTTTTCTGAAGCTAGGAATTTCAGAAATAGTGCTAGCAATTTAGTATTGTGTAAATTTAGGGCAACTTACTTGCAGGTTACTACTGTCAGGTGCTCTATGTATTTGCATTCTCCATGAATGCAGAAATTTTGGAATTCTGCCTCACATGGAGTTTTCTTCTTTCTGTTTCTTCTGTTTTTTCCATTTTTCCCACTATTTTTCTTCCTTTTAGGTTTATTTGAAGTCTTTTCACTTTCTGTTTTGTTTTTTGGGGGTTTAATTACCTGTTCAACTAAAAGAAAACAAAATAAGATTTATTGGCAAAAGTCTTTATCTTGAATAGCAATTTAGAAACAGCAGAGAAAGAAGTCAGAGCAGTAAGAGCTCATGAGAATAGGACCATGTTCTGTATCATTGTTTAACACAATATGTACATAATAAATGCTCAAAGAGAATATCAATCTGATGTGACTTTAAAAGTCTGAAAGCTTTTGATATTTTACTAGTCTAGAAGTATATTTTTAATTTGTGTTATTATAATTAATGCTGTTGTTGTCATTATTGTTATTGACAACAGGAGTTATGTGCCTAGGAAAATTCTTGAAAAATTTTAAATATTTCTAGAACTGTAAAACAATCAAGTTCTTGGTAAAAATTAAAACCCACTGCCAACAAGTCAATTCTGACTCATAGTGACCCCAATAGGGTTTCCAAGGCTATAAACCTTTACAGAAGCAGACTGCCTCATCTTTCTCCCATGGAATAGTTGGTGGGTTTGAACCACTTCAATGCCTTACCATGGTGTAACCAGAACTGTTCTTGGTGGTGAATATTAGTATGATTGACCCAAATAATACTTTTATATATTATTAGCTACATGATATACATGAGGCAACAAGTTCAGTGAAAAGAAGTAACTTTCCCTAGGACAAGAAGCTAGAAAATGGTATTGCTGGGATTATCAAGGCCAGTTGATTTCCCACTACGCTATCCTTTTTCTGACAAAAGATCAGTACCATTGTCTGAAAACCTACTTGGGAAGTACTTGTTGATTTTATTTAGCACATCAAGTCTTATCCTCACTATCATAGCTGGTAATTAATAAGTGCTACTCAAAGTGGAGTGGTCCTTGGGTAGTGCAAATGGTTAATGTAGTGGGCTGCTCACAGAAAGACTGGCAGTTCAAGTCCACCCAAAGGCACCTCAGAAGAAAGACTTGGTGATCTACTTCTTAAAAATCAGCCTTTGAAAACCCTATGGAACACAGATGTAGTCTCGTACATATAAGGCCACCATGATATTGAATTTGCATGATGGCTGGTACCAGTTACTCGAAGGGGTCTAGGGAAGCCAGAATTATGCATTAGAGTTAGTGAACTTTCTCCAACTCTGAGATTACAACAGATTTTAATCAACTGATACATTCAAGGGGACTCATTTTTGTGGTCAATTTATTTGAAAATAGGAGTCCTGAAATATTTGTACTTGATGTTTCAGAAATTCCTCAACTCAACAGATCCACAGAAACCTTCGCCCATTATTATAGTTACACAAGGTGTAGTTTATCCTCATACAGATAGGGAAGGAGAAGTTTCCGTATTTGTTACACTACTCCCTGAATAGGGTTATTCGAGCAAATATTTAGCAAACAAGCCCAATGAAGAGAGAAAATACCATTAATCATAACAGTCATCCAAAAAAAAAAAACACCTCATTGCCATTGAGTCAGATCCGACTCATAGCAACCCATCCCCCTTGGGTTTCTGAGGTGGTATCACTATGGAAGTACATTGCCCAACCTTCCTTCCAGGAGTGGCTGGTGGGTTTGAACTGCCAGCCTTCTGGTTAGCAGTCAAATGCCTTAGGCACTATGCCACCACAGCTCCCAACAGTCATCCAGCACCCATTAAATAGAAAACATTGAAAACATAGTGAAGATTAACAAGGAAATCAAACATAGAACCCATCTGATTAAGGAAATGACAAATATTATCAATATTTTAGCATTTTACTATACGCATTAGCAAATTAGTAGCAATGTTTAATTGATGGTTATATGAGTTTTGTACTGAAACTTTCCTCTAGTGATAAAAGAGCCCCACAAGTAAGAATAAGTCCTCCAGTAGTAGCATTTTAAATGAAAATTATTGTACTTTATCAGATAGATTAGAAATTACAGATAAAATAGTCACTCAGCTAAGACATTAACTCCATGAACATTAATATAACAGCTTTTTAAAAGAGTACAACCAACATTTTCACTACATGTCACAAGGCATTGCAGTTTTGAGCAGTGATCACTTTCACTACTAACATTTATCTGCCTATTTAAGTGTTAAAAACTTGTGAAGTATTTTTAAGGAACAGTTTCCAGTTGTTTTGTGCTCAAATCTCACCCCTCTAAAAATAAGAGTTATCAATGGGATGCTTCAACACCTCACATAAAAGCACAAGGTCACCTGTAGGAAGGGAGGGAAGGAGAGAGTTCATCAAAGCTTTTCCCAACTGAAAAGCCCAGTCACTGCCTCTGTGGTATCACGTGCTCTCCCTTCACCATGGCTGGAATCCAGGCACAGGGAGAGGGCCCAAGGAGGTCAGAGTCAGGAAAGAAGCCATGACGAGCTCCTAAACCATCATGCCCTGGCTCCATAGTGGGTGTTACTAGGATATTTTGATCTGATTTATTGATGACCTCTTGTGTGCTCAAATTGCATAGGAGTATGAGGATAATGAACATCTACCAGGAGCTCTGGCGGTGCAGTGTTTAAAGCATTTGACTGCTAACCAAAAGGTAAGCAATTTGAACCCACTAGCCACTCCAAGAGGGAAAGATGAGGCAGTCTGCTTCTATAAAGATTTACAGGCTTAGAAACCCTATGGGGTAGCTCTACTCTGCCCTACAGTCACTATGAGTCGGAATTGACAATGGCAGTGGGTTTGCTTTTGGCTTTGGTACAGTATTTATCTCTTAACTTAATACCCTCATTTTAAGCAAATGCTCTTTAAAAGATCTGCTTACACCAAAAGGGAGAAAACATGGATCACTATTATATAACTGACAAATGGTATTTGGGGTTAAATTGTGGCTTTAGCAACATAAAATCTATGCATATCTATTCTTTTCTAATCTGTTCAGAAGGTTAATGTTATCATTATTATCATCATCATCATCACCACCAGTTTCTCAATACCTAATACTTAATAGCTAACATCCAATTTCTCCTGCCCCATGACTTTATTCTGTTTCCTTATTTGTGTTAAAATGCAGTTGTTCGGTGATAGAAGGAGTAAAATCAAAAGCTAGCACAAAAAGTAGATAGGAATATTCAATGCCTATATCACAAGGAAGTAGGTCATGTGGCAGAGTGGGAAAGCATGATGTCTGCAATCAAACAGACTGGAGTTCCAACTCCAGCTCAGCTCCTTGCTAGTTATGGGACCTTGGACAGAACACTTTTTTTTTTCTTTTAAGTTTCAGTGTTCTATCTGTCAAAGGAGGACAATAATTCCTACTTCATAAAGTTGTTGTGAAGATTGGACTTAATAGACATAAAATATTTGGTAGAGCTCCAGACATACAGAATGTGTTCACATATACCTCTTTCTGGCTTACCCACTGGGGATGTAATATATGTATACACAAGATCCTCAAACCTCACTGCTGTCGAGTCAGATGCGACTCATAGTGACCCCTTCTTGGGTTTCCAAGGCAGTGTCACTACAGAAGTAGATTGTCTAATGGTAAATCCAGGGAGTGCCTTTTCTTTTGAAGCAGTTCTGCTCATACAAACCCACATCCCACAGGTTAGATTTTCCCTTTATCCTTTACTCACCTCTGATTGAATCATCTACTACATAGCTGGATATTTGTGGTTCATTATCATACTCTTCTGAATAGTCATAGTCAGTTCCTAAGGACAGTTCTCCACCAGAAGGCATTTCACTCACTGGGGAAATCTCAGTTCCTGAGGACATCTCACTTGTTGAGGTCACTGTCACCTCAAATCCATCAGCACTGGGTTCCCTAGAAAATGGCTCCCCTTTCCCAGAGTCGGTGTCTTTGAGGTCCGATCCAGCAGCATAACACCCTGAGGGAGAAGGAATGAAGGAAGAAAAGAAAAAGTAAAGCAGGGTGCCTTTCCTGCCAGTCAACTGTACTTAGGAGAAGTGTTTATCTTCTCATATCAAAGCAGTTACTACACATCTGCTATTGTTTGTGATTGAGTCACTTATGAAAGCAACTTCACATTTTGCCAACAGGCAAACTCAGCTGTTCCAATTACAGAGCATCTTTTATCGAGGTTTTCTTGTCTACAGATACTCTACATTAATTTCCACTCTTTCTCTCTCTATATATACGTGTGTGTGTGTGTGTGTGTAATAAAATAAAACCCTGATTTTCATCGAGTCAATTCTGACTCATGGTGACCCCCTTTGGGTTTCTGAAGCGGTAAATCTTTACAGAAGTAGATTGCCCCATTTTCCTTCCACAGAGTAGCTGGTAGGTTTGAACCGCCAGCCTTCTGGTTAATAGTCAAATGCCTTAGGCACTATGCCACCACAGCTCCTATCTATCTATCTATCTGTCTATCTGTATACAGCCAAACAAGCAAATTCAACTAATGTAGATACTTAGCAGATGATCGCTAAATATTCCTATTTCTTCACATCCCAAATGCATTTGTCTTTGCTAGAATGTTATTTGTCTCATTTTAAAGATAGGTTCTGGATGTAAGTATTAGGTTTTCTTAACATATCCTCATAATCTTTTATTTTTAATTATGTATATGAAATGTAAAAATAATATAAATGGTAATTGATAAAAATGATTATTATTGTTCCATAACTGTTGTCATTAACACAGAGAAGAAACTGAGTATTAGGGAAGATATGGGGCCCAGATAAAGCCCCTGGCAGTATCTTTTAACTCTCAATATAAACAGCAGCAGAGTGGTGCTTCACACCTCTCTCTGGGACACTGTGAGATCATCTACAGAAGGTGAAACTGAAATCACTGACAGGAGATGGAGAATGTAACCAGGAGGCAGCACTGTGGGTCCAGCACCTCACTTCTCCACTTAACAGTGTGGGAATCACTTCACCTCTCCCAACCTCCGTTTCTTTATCTGTAAAACGAAGAAGTTGAATCACAGGCCCTCTAAGGTCTCTCTTAGTTGGACTAAAGTAACAGGTATTCTCTCAGGCACCCTCGAGCTGGCCCGGAATGTCTAAGACACCTCCCTTCCTCTTAGGGAGTAACCCTGCAAAGCCAGGCTGCAGTGATCGCCTTCTCTGGGATAGAGTCAGGGGCGCCAAAGAGTGTGCTCCTTGGAAACCAAAAAACCAAACCCATTGCCATCAGTCTGCCTATGTTCTAACTCACAGCGACCCTACAGGGCGAAGTAGAACTGCCCCACAGTGTTTCGGAGACTGTAAATCTTTACCGAAGCAGACTGCCACATCTTTCTCCCGTGGAGTGTCTGGTGGAGAGGAGCAAAAGCAAAAGCCAAGATGTGACAGTTTTGGCCTGCCTAGAGAGAAGCACCCATCAGTTCAGAGCCAGGAGGTTTCTCACCTGAGCCAAGGATCAACAGCGACAGCACCACTGGCGCCGGCAGCAGCAGCGAGATTCTCATTGGTCCCTCCGAGCCGCGGCGTCTGGGTCTCTCGGGCAACTCCCGCCGGAGTTACGGGGCAAAGGATGGAGACCAGGAGGTAGAAGAGGGAGAGGAGACTGGGAGCGCGAGATGTGCTCCAAGGCCCGGTGGGGCTCGGGGCAGTGGATGTGCGCCTCCAACTTGCCGCGGGATCTCTTGGGTCCGACTCTGGTGCGGGCACATAGGTGTGCGAACATTCCAAAGGCGCGGCTCGCACCTGTGGCTTTATAGAAGCCTCGGGCTGAGCCTGGGCGGGGAGGGAGGCTGGGCCCGACGTCATGGCCGCGGCTGTGGGTGGGGGCAGGAGGTCGTCCCAGAAAAGGTTACTACCTCAAAACCACAGGGATGGCAAGAGCCTAACTTCCGTTCTTCTTGTATAGAGAGCCACTGGGAGGAAATGGCCATTTAACCTTTAGCTGTGTGCATACAACATATTCGAGGGCAGGAACGGAGTTTGAGAGCAAGTATCTGACAGTTAAAAGTCTAAAGTTTCAAACTCCTTCTGAGAACCCTCCGTATATACTTTGATTGATCTTAACACTACAGCCAAAAAAAAAAAAAAAAAAGCCAAACCGAGTCGATTCAGACTCCCAGAGACCCCCGTTGGGTTTCCAAGGCTGTAAATCTTTAAGGAAGTTGTTGTTGTTGTTGTTATGTGCCGTTGAGTCGGACCGACTCATAGCGACCCCTCCTTGGGTTTCCGAGGCAGTATCACTGCGGAAGTAGGATTGCCCAACCTTCCTTCCGAGGAGTGGCTGGTGGGTTTGAACCACCAGCCGTCTGGTTAGCAGGCAAGTGTCTTAGCCACTATGCTACCAGAGCTCCTTAGATTACCTGAATTGCTGACTTTCTGGTTAGCAGCAACCGACAGGGATTAAGTACTTGAAGACCAAGAGCTTAACTACTATAGCGCAGATGGCCTTAACAAGGATAAGTGCACTAAACGATTAGAGAGAGCGTCCAATTGAAAAGCTGCTTCCTCTATGATGGCCTGCATCTCAGTCATGGGTCCTTTCCCACTCACTACTGTGAAGTGGTCAGAAGTTCAAATTACCTCCTTCCCAATGCTTTGTGTGGCACAGGGCCCTCATCAAAGATAAATTAATAATTTTTGATCACTGCAATTACTGAACAAGGCATTAAAACTTGTACTTACATCATCTCACTCAGTAGTCTTACTGAATTGATATCATTGTAATTTTACATGAGAAATGGCAGCTTTAAAATATCAGGACAAGAATTTCACATAGCTGGTAGTGGAAGGAGCCAGATGGATTTCAATTCAAGGTCATCTGACCCTGAAACTTGTACTCTTAACACTGATAGAGGAATTCAGAAATAAACTGACATTTGAAAAGAGAATCTCTGGAGAGATCAATGCTTAACCCAAAGAGCACAGCAGCACACTGCCCGCAAGTCGGATCCAACTCATAGGGACCCCTCCTTGGGTTTCCAAGGCGATATCACTACAGAAGTAGATTGTCCAACCTTCCTTCCAAGGAGTGGCTGGTGGATTTGAACTGCCAGCTTCTGGTTAGCAGTCAAATGCCTTAGGCACTATGCCACCAGAGCTCCCTAACCCAAAGAAGTGAGTCCCTAATGGTAACATAGTGGGATTTGGGTGTGATTAGGCAGTGTGCCTCTCAAATCCCAAGTTAAGAAGACCAACTTTTAGGGCCTATTTAGAACTTATTAGGGTATTCCATCATGACCAGTAGATAAATGAAGAAGAGGGAGAGAACTGCTTAATTTGACGAATTTTGATATAATGACAACTCCAGAACTGGATTTTTCTTGACTAAAGGAAGAGTAAAAAATATTGTTCTCTCTTTTAACTGTTTCCTTGTCCTGGAGATGCTTATCTCTTCCCTGATGGTTTCAGTAAAAAAGACTTTTTAGGAATGTGGGTCACAGAGCACCTGTACTATTTCTGGGAAACTTTTTAAAAGTAACATTTTTTAATGGCATATTGCAGGGAGTAGGCTGAGTAATGTCATGCACTTAGCAGGACTGAATAAACAGTCATGAACCAAGCCTTATCTTCTATTTGACATTTGTTGAAAGCCTATTTTGTGTAAACCACCTGTTTTGCTTTGTTTTTCAAGAAAAGGGGCAATAAGGAGGAAACATAAACATGAATATGCCCAGGTCCCTATTCTCTAAGAACTCATAGTGTGGTGTGGGCCAGATACATAGATAAGTAATTCTAAAATGTCAGAGGATAGGAAAAGTTCAGAATGTCCTGGGAAAACAAGGACACATGGTTTAATTTTGCCGGTGAGTGTCATGGAAGTCTTTGTGGAAGGATGAATACGCCCCTCAAAGGCCTCATATCAGGGTGTGGAAAATAAGGCTGGAAAGGGGACACCGCCCATTCCCAGGTGCAGTAGGGTCCTGCATTGTCATCTTTTTAGGTGGATGAGGCGACTGTGATTCAGCGAGATTCAGAGACTTGCCAGCAAATTATGAAAAATGGTATTAGAAATTCCATTTGAAGCTCAGGCACTGGTGCATCCTTCTGCTCCCTTAGGTTTTTGTTCTAGTCCTCTTCTAACAATGTTTCTCTCTTCTTTCTTCTTATTGAGGTGAGTGTAAGTTGTGCATATCTGTCATCAAAAATGTTTCACTTTCTATATGAAATTAAAGTGGAATCTTTAAATTGGAAACTGCTTCGTGTTTTCTCGGTTGGAAATTTGAAGGGAGATAATTTATGTTCGTATGATGCATAACAGAGCTCTGGTAGCATAGTGGATAAGCCACTTGACTGATACCTGGAAGATCAGTGGTTCAAACTCACCAGCTGCTCCGTGGAAGGAAGGTAGGCCGATCTACTTCCATAAATATTTGCAGCCTCAGAAACCCAATGGGGGTCACTATGACTTAGAAACTACTCAATGGCAGTGAGTTTGGTTTTATGGTGTATAACATAGCATCAAGGTGAGAGAGTAGCTTAATGCTTGGTATGAACTTTATGTTCAAACCAACCTGTGTTTTCATATACAAATTCTACCACATACTATCTTACTTAATATTTGAAAGGCTCAGATTCCTACTCTCAAAATAAAAATAAAGGTGCTTATCTGCTGATAGGCAGATCAAATGAGATAAGATACATAAAAAAAAAAAAGGTAAACAAGTAACACCACTCTTGTTGTTGTTGTTATGTGCCGTCGAGTAGCACCACTCTAGTATATGGCAAATAATTAATAAATGGTAACTATTACTATTAACCAGAGCTCTGATGGCATAGTGCCTAAGGCATTTGACTGCTAATCAGAAGATTGGAGGTTCAAACCCACCAGCTACTCTTTGGAAGGAAGATTGGGCAATCTACTTCCATGGTGATACTGCCTCAGAAATCCAAGGAGGGGTAGCTGTGGGTCAGATCCAGTTTGATGGCAGTGAGTTTGTTTTTTGGTATTACTATTAACAGTGAGTATTACTATTAACTTTGACATTAGGATACACTATATTAATCACATTGGAGAATGAAGTGACTCTGGTAAATGGAACTTCTCACAGAATAGGTGAAATAAACCCATTCAATATTTTCAAATCATGAACTTTGTACCTGTTGTTGTTGTTGTTGTTTGCCGTCGAGTCGGCCCCGACTCATAGCGACCCCTCCTTGGGTTTCCGAGGCAGTATCACTACGGAAGTAGGATTGCCCAACCTTCCTTCCGAGGAGTGGCTGGTGGGTTTGAACCGCCTGCCTTCTGGTTAGCAGTCAAGTGCCTTAGCCACTATGCTACCAGAGCTCCCTACCTACTTCCAATTAAGAGTAACAATTTTGAGCATTTTATGGTGCATCATACAGTGGAGAGGCATCATCACAATCACATCACAATGTAGCACCTTTGATGTGTCATGGCATTCTGACATATGCACAAGTAGGAAACCAACCCCATGTAAAATGTGGGAGTCTTCACATTCTGTGTGTTAGGCTGAAATAAAGAGGGACAATTTCAAGAAATTCATGTAGAGTATCCACCCTTCTCTGTCCCTATAAAGTGAGTTTCCTCACCTGCATATGAGGTTAGGGCAGCCCTAGGGCAAAGGCTCCTAACTAACCATTTTGGTGCCTACTCTCTGGATCCTGATAATAATTTTTATGTATAGTCAAAACAAACTCACTTTGACTCTGCTGAAATGTGTGCTATGGAACCAAATGTGCAGTTATGTAATTTTTCATAAAAATTGCTCTTGAATTTTTACAAATAGCACCACAGTCTGAGTAAGGATTATATCAGGGTCATTTTTATAAGTCAACATACAAACTTCCAAACTAAAATTCAGAAATTCTCCAATATATAAATAACATTTCCTATGTTATTAATAAATGATTTAGCACTGTTTAGATGCTAAGTAGACAATTATAATTGCCTTGGAAGTTACTCATGCTGTTAACCAAAAGGTTGGCAGTTCAAACCCACCAAACTCTGCAGGAAAAAGATGAGGCACTAGGCTTCAGTAAAGATTTACAGCCTTGGAAACCCTGTGGGACAGTTCTACTCTGTCTTGAGGGGTTACTATGAATCAGAATTGACTTGATGGCAATAGTTTTTGTTGTTGTTGTTGTTTTTGGTATAGAATATATAGCTTCTCATTCCTTCAAAACTGACCTTGGATGGTGTGTGTAATCAGTTAAGTTAAATCAAGAAAGTCAGCCAAATTGGTGAAATAATTACAGAAATAGAAAGTAAGTTTATTGGGGAGTGGGGAGACCTGGAATAACACCCACTCCTATTCTTGGTATCAATATTTACATAATAAAAAATTAAGTACCATTACATTCTAGTAAAGTCACTTGCCCTTTAGACTCTTAATATCCTGGCTTTTGTGGAACAAGGACTGGCAGATGAGGCTAGAGGCAAGTGATGTTTTGTTTCAATAGAAACTAAGACAATGTATTATACAAGTAACTAGATTTATACAAAAGAAAGAAGCCTCAAAATACTTCATTTATTCATCAAATATCT